CCATCTCAATCCTACCATGCTTTATAGTACACATACCAATCTTTAAGTGTAATCCTCCAACTTCTTCCAAGAACCTAAACTTCCTCCGGCCATCAAATGATTTTGTTCCCTAATTTTAACATAGCTTTATCGGCAAAAAGAGGTTAAATTCTTTCTTCAAAATCTTGAATATATATATATATATATATATATATTTTGGTGAGAACCCGAGCTTCATTCAACAATGAAAGAATGTACAAGGATATACAAACAAAACAAGCTCAAAAAAGAAGCCCTCAAGTTAACTACAGAAATGGACTCTAATCCAGAAGAATAAAACCAAGTTGATAGCTACAAAAAGCAAAAGTAACAGAAGCCCATTGATGTAGACAGCTTTTGCTTGAAAGAAATTAATTCAATAATAATCTCCAAGTTACAAACTACTAAAGCCCCTTTAAATAGACATCAAATTTTACTAACCATCTAACTGCATAACTAATCGGCTGAAACTAAAACTTAAAAGAATGAAGAACAAACTTAAAGAACCAAGGACTTACAGATTAAACCAAGAAACAGTTGGTTGAACCTAAAATAAAAGAAAACGTTAACTATAAAGCCAATAAGACTGAACAATGCCACACCACCCATAAAGATGCATTAAAACTAACTAACTCCCGAACCTCCTCCCCAATCTCTCAATCCCTCTGAAAAACCTACTATTCCTCTCCAGCTAAATACCCCATAATACAACAAAGAAACAAGCATGCCACAAAACTCTTCTCACAACCCGTATCCCAAAAGGGAGTTTAGAAGTGTCTCCTCTTCATAGAGCAACAGGCTCTGCTCTAAGTGAAGCATAACTCAAACGAACTCAAACAATGACTCCAAATGGACTGAGCAAACTAGCAGTCCCACAATAAATGGTAAATATCCTCCTTGTCACACCTACAAAGAATACACCATTGCAAACACAATATAAAGGAAGAATGCCTATGAATTTGATCCAATATTAACTTTCCCATACAAAACCTATAGAGCAAACAATTTCAACCATCAAGGGAATTTTTACCTTCGAAGGAGAGGAAAATTACATTATAAATAGCCTAGTTTGCTTCATGTATTCTAGAAGTTTGGATGATTAGTAAAATTATGGCCTAGCACTTTGGAGAGCAATGAGACTCGAATAATGTTTACAATTACAGATTTTAGGTTGCATGCCTGAATGGGACTTTGACCACTGGGTAAGATAATCTTCGAAAACGAGGACGAGTGACTAGTCAAGTCATGAAACTTTTGCATTTCAATCAATATAGTTGAAGTATAAGTGGACATGATTTAAGGATTTATGTGTTTAAACTGACTATGACCAAAATAGTGGCTACTTGAACCAAAACAAGGGCAACCCATTTTCAAACCAAAAGAACATTCAAGTGGGAATGGTCAACCTACTTATGAAGAATCTTAGGAAAGAAACTTGTTTTCTTACCTTGGAACATTTGTCCCGAAGGAAGTCTGCTCTTAATCTTTCACCAGGACTGCTTCATAAGAAAACAATAATAATAATAAAAAAAGGAAAATATATATTTCCTTACGTTTGAAGTCACTTTGATTTGAGCGTTTTAGGGTTTGTAGGTTTGAAATTACAAGGGTTACAATTTCAGTTACCTAAGGAGTTCACATCAATTAGATTGAAAAGGCTGGAGTTGTCTAATATCAAAAGAAGAAAGGTGTCATCTGCAAGCTATAAATTGGATGAAAAATATGCTTAATTCTTGCAAAACCATACATCCTTCAACGAGACCATCCTCCGCATTCTTTTAAAAATATTGTGTTTTTCCCTAAGGCCACACGTGAGGTAACGAGTCCCACCTAACATTATTGATAACTTGCAACATCATTACTTAGTAAAGAGAAGTCTCATTTGACCTTTAAACGATAAAATAATCAAGGTTTTCCATTAATGAAGAAACTTCTGGCTCAAATCTCCTCAAGATAGCATCAATATTTGCTTAGCACTATCAGTATCCATGTTTTTACAAGTGGTTGAATTGAACTGGGACATACTAATGTCAATCTCTTCATCAATCAGACGAAGGATCTCAACTACAGTATGAGCTCGTTTCATAAAAGAAAAAAACTATAGCATAATATTCTGGGACCTTGAGAATGTAAATAAAAACACAAAACGAGGTAAAACATAATCGGGGGTGGGGAAATAGGTTTAACAAAGCATGCCTGAAATTTTTGTGCTGCCAGAGGATCACTTGGGTTTTTATCTGGATGAACCTGCCGCGCCTAAAATCCAAAAAAAGAAATGATTATTGATAAAAGTCAAAGAATCTGTCTTACTGTGTATCACATAGAAGAACAAGTACAGCACAGATACAATATAGCGGAAGAGTAAAATAATTCATTAAATAGAAGGACAAGATCGATAAAAATAGTATGAGCAAGGTTATTCTCAACAAAGAAAGCGAATTTCAAAATTTGTTATCAAATGAGCACAAAGTTGAAGATGTAATATATCACAACTACACATTATCTATTGCTTTACATTAAGAGTTAACGATGAGGCAAAGACCCGTAATTAACGCTTGCTCTAAAATACTAATTATTTAATAGGCTAGCCTCATAAAATTCATGTGTAGGAAAATGAAAACATCTGGAATGGGAAAATTTTAGGTCATAAGGATGGCAAATAAAGCAGATTCGATGAATACTACGAGAAATAAGAGCGCTGGACATTAGATTTGATACGGGAGGAGTCTGTATATCAGTAGTACCAAATAGATCCAGCTGCAAATTATTGCTCACAAATAATAAATGAGAGATGAATTTCAAATCTCTTCAAACAAATCTGAAATGTGGGCAAATCATAGGTTGAGACAGAAGGGGTGATCAAGTCCAATGTCACACGATAGTCTCAGTAACAAGACAAAAAAAAAGAAAAAAAAGAAGAAGAAAAAAAGAGAGAGAGAGAGAGAGAACTGAGGAAAGGGGAGAAAATCGGGCCGAATATCACAGAAGCTGGGTGGAAATTATGCAAAGGGAAGCCACCTTGATGTAATAAGCTTTCTTGATTTCGGCTTCTGTAGCCGCGGGGCTGACTCCAAGTACGTCATAGTATTCCGTCTCCTTCACCATCTGGGAGTTCGGATCAGGCAAATGATATTATGATGTAGGAGTGTAAAGGTCCCCGCCGGCCTTTGTCTAGAAATGAAGGTCTGAACACCAGGTTCAAATGTTGGAAGTTTGGAGGAGAATAATTTATTTATCTAAAAAAGAGGCATGAACTCAGATGAGGGGCGACTCCTTGGAGGAAAGAAGAAATATTAAAAAAAAAAAAACAAAAACAAAAACAAAAGGAAAAAACGAAAGGAAAAACAAAGAAAAGTATTCCTGGCCGCGTGGGACGATGGCAGGTGGCGTTACTTACTACGAATGCGCATCCATCAACCTTATGAAGTGAATATTATTACTTACGAGAAGACTTGGGGTGATTATGGCCGATTTGGGGATTTCTATTTGGTCTCCAAGTAATCTTTTAGTTTCTAAAATTTCGAAAGTCATTCAATATAACCTTTGACTTCACAAAAATGATCTGACATAATTTTATAATTCTGTATTAATTTTAGGTTAAGTGGTTTTTTTACTTTTTTCTATGTGTTTGCTTATCTATGGTTTCTTCAATATTATTACTAGTTTCAACTTTTTTTTTTCCTCTCTCTATTTCTCCTCTTCAATTTCTAGAGCAAAATAATAATAATAATAATAATAAAAATCAACTTAAAAAGTGAAAGAAAAAAAAAAGAAAAAAAAAAAAAAAAAAAAAAAAAAAAANTATTACTAGTTTCAACTTTTTTTTTTCCTCTCTCTATTTCTCCTCTTCAATTTCTAGAGCAAAATAATAATAATAATAATAATAAAAATCAACTTAAAAAGTGAAAGAAAAAAAAAAGAAAAAAAAAAAAGAAAAAAAAAAAAAGAGGGAAGAAGACAACCTTAACAAATCAAAAGAAGCTAAAGAGGAATCATGTTTGGATGTTTGGATGTTCTTCCTCTTTGTTGTTGATACATAACATCTTGTGAGTTCAACGATGGAAAAATAAATAAATAAATAAGCACAATTATTAAATATTCAAAACTATGTGTGTAGTATTGAATGTTGAAGTTCAAATTTTTTAGCAAAAACATTATATTATATTTTTATTATATATATAATTGAGTAAGGAGTGTTGAAAGGTTGAAGTTCAAATTTATTAGCAAAAACATTATATTATATATATATTTTTTTATATAATTGAGCAAGTATGTTAAATATTTTTTTAAAAAAGATTGAATACTATATTGAATCTTGAAAATTTAAAAATCTTTTAGCAAAACATTATATTATTTTTTGTTTTTCCACTCCGCTTCATCTCTAGTACTAGAAAGAAGGATAAGGATAAACCGTACAAAAATTGACGAAGGTTACCATTTTAAAAAAAGAATAAAAAAAACGTTAGTGCTATAGTTTCACAATGTTAAACTTCACAAAGTGATAGAAAAGAAAAACAAATTTTAAAAAAACTGGTTAGTGTTACTCTTAAAAAAGCAATATGATAAAAAGCTGTAGAGCATACTTTTATTATGCAAATAGATTCATATTCATAAAACATTAGCATCTCTACTATGAAAGTAGCAAATGTTGAAATTAGTTCAAATATTTTTTAGCACGTGCATGAAATGATTTCTTGAGGGGCCTCATGGGATTAGAGTATTGAAGTGTTATATTTAAGTCATAAGGTTATAGACCCTTGGGGTATTAGAATGATAATAACCTCCCAAGCCTAGATTGAAAAATAGAAAGCAAAATCAGGTAGTTAAAAATTTAGCAAATGGCAGCCCTTTTAAAAATGACAAAAAAAAAAAAAAAAAAAGGGA